GATTCACAGATGAATAGAAAGTTCAAAAGAACAGCATTTATTTAAAATAGAAATAATTTGTAACATTATAAATGTCTTTACTGTCACTTTTCATCTCATTCATTTCATTTAATGCCTCCTTGATGAATAAAAGTGTCAATTTATTATTTTTTAACTGTTTCAACTAGGGCTGCACAATTAATGGAATTTCTAATCGCAATTACAATTATGGATGCCACAATTCCGTAATCGTTCAAAGTCCACTTATGTTATTCTGCGCGCTTAAGATGCGTTTTTTTCTTTCTACATGTTATCTTAAGGGTTTTCCCATTGTTTTAGTTTTAGTATAACATTATAATACCATTCATATTTTTACTTTTTTTATAATTTAAAGAAGAAACCAATCCGATGTATAATTGTGATAATCGTAAATAATAATCGCAATTACAATTTCAAGGGAATATTGAAATATTCTAATTTTGTCATAATCGTGCAGCCCTAGTTTCAACATTGATAATAATCAGAAATGTTTCTCGAGCAGTAAATCAGCATATTAGAATGATTTCTGAAGATCATGTGACACTGAAGACTGGAGTAATGATGCTGAAAATACAGCTGCGCATCACAGAAATAAATTACAGTTTAACAGATATTCACACAGAAAACAGCTGTTTTACATTCTATTAATATTTCACAATTTTTACTGTATTTGTGAGCAAATAAATGCAGCTGTAAGGACTGTACATCGGAACTCAAGCAGGCTGGTGTAAATGCAAAGCCTCAGACACATAATTCTTAATGTGTATGTGCATTTATCATGTCCTATGATGTGATTAATGCGAATGGTGAGTGGAAAAACACTATGAGAAGTGCACATGTGCTCTCGAACCTTCACCAGCTCGAAGGGGAAGCGCTCGTGGAAGATACGATTGATTCTGGCTCCTCCAGACAGCTCATACGTGTCTATCTGATCTCCAGAACCCTCGATGCGCTTCTCGAAATCCACCGAGAACTGCTGCACCATCCTGAAACCAACAATATATACACTGAGGATTCATCATCTGTAGTTTTGTCTCAGTGAGCCTGAGGATCTGAGTTTCATTTGTTCATGCAGAGACGGTGAATGTGATTGACTGACTGCAGCAGGGCTTTGGTCTTCCGGGACGGATCGTCCGGACGGAAGTTCTTGTATTCCTCCACTTCCTTCTCGATGGACAGCAGCTGGCTCTGCAGTTTAGCGCGCAGCGCAGGGAGCGTGTCACGGATGTGATTGGTCAGTTGCTGCAGAACAGAGAAGAGAAAACAGAGATGAAGTTGAAGACAATCAGACTGAAGGTTGAAGATTCATTCCTACAATAATGATAGTAAACTTTACTTTTATACAGCGCTGTTAAACGTTACTTCTCAAAGTGCTTTGCAAAGTAAAAGCAAAATATAAAACATCAAATGTGACCCTGGAGCACAAAAGCAGTGTTAAGTCGCTGGGGTATATTTGTAGCAATAGCCAACAATACATTGTATGGGTCAAAATTATAGATTTTTCTTTTATGCCAAAAATCATTAGGATATTAAGTAAAGATCATGTTCCATGAAGATATTTTCTAAATTTCCTACCGTAAATATATCAAAACTTAATGTTTGATTAGTAATATGCATTGCTAAGAACTTCATTTGGACAACTTTAAAGATGATTTTCTCAATATTTAGATTTTTTTACATCTTACATTTTACATACATCAATGGAACGATTATTTATTCAGCTTTCACATGATGTATACGTCTCAATTTTAAAAAATTGACCCTTATGACTGGTTTTGTGGTCCAGGGTCACATATATTAATGTACTAATGTAATGTATACAGTGGTAACAAAAAGTACTAATGTTATACCATATTTTTTTAAGAATAGAATAGAATAGAATAATTTTAATAATAGAAACCATGGTATTCTTTTAAGGATCTTTTAAGTGCATAAATATTATTCAGTATTATGATAAACAGCAACACTACATTCACAAGTTTACAAAACTTTATTGTTATGTATCAACCAAATCAAAATACAAAACAATGTATCAAAATAATAAGTATATGAGGGTCATTCTATAATTAAGGGTACATTTCATGTCCACTGATAATAAATATAGATTTCAAGCGATTTTCTTCAGAAATATCATATTTATTTTAACTTGAAGTAATCCAAGAGTAATCAGATTACATTACTTTTATATTGTGGTACTTGGATTACATTACTGGATACTTTTTTAATGAAGTCATTTGTAACTGTAACGGAATACATTTCAAAAGTAACCCTTCTAACCCTGGTAATATAGAACAAAAACACTTTGTAATGACGTGTAATATGAACAAAACAGAACTAATGAACGTTACTGTTCTACTGAGTTACCTGTCATTTTTCGTGTTTGTCGACGTCTGTAATATCTGTCTACTAGCTTCCATGTTTCTTGTTCACATCCTTTCTTTTTTAAATCGTGTTGCTTTTTAATATCGAATCTGTAGAGTTGTGAAACGCTACAAAGTCATATTTTTCTTGATTATTTTCAAGCAATAAATAAATCGTGTTTACTATGGTGATTTATACATTTATCCAGTGATTTACAAATCTTTAGATGCTCTGTGGCGTGCAAAGACATTATTTCTCATAACAATAAAAGATCATGTATCATTATTTGTATCCAGCCTAATTAATATTCATGAGTTTGGCGTTTCCTCACTCCGCCCCCACAGCTTTATCCTGCAGGTGCTGTAGTTCATCTACTGAAATACAGTTGTTATTTTTAAAACTCTGCTGTGTGTATGTGGCCGAAACAAACCAGACAGAGAGTTTAGGTTGATGTTTACACATTTCAGCTGTTAAAGTCTCACCTGGTTGAGGGTTTTCTGCAGGAACGGCGTTCCCATGCGGTCGGCCAGGTGTCTGTAATTGGAATGAGACAGGAAAAACTTCCTCTCCGCCGCCATAGCAGCGTTAATATCCTTCTTCCCGTCGATGTCTTTCTGACTGCGGTTCACCACACCCATGTAACCTGCGGTCAGACAAACACATCAGCGTTAGATGGGTAAAGCAAGAGTACAAGTGACTGCAGCTCAAATCATTTGATCTCGGTTTAATTGGGTGAGAAACGTTCGAGTTCATGCTGAGATCTCTGATTGCAGACTTTATTATGAGCACTGTAAATAATCAAAAGTCATTTGTGACCCTGGACCACGAAACCAGTCATAAGGGTCCATTTTTTGAAATTAAGATTCAAAGCTGACCTCATACGTCATCCGCCCGGAGCTGCTTCCATTTACAACAGTGAGCGCAAGCTACATTAAAGTGATTATTAAGTTTTGAATATAGATATTTTTCTTACAAAAACGCATCGATTTGCTACAGGAGGCCTTTGTTCACCCCCCGGAGCCGTGTGGGACACTTTTTTTTATGGATGGGCGCTTTTTATTTAACTTCTTTTGGACTGATGCATGCAACACCAGCTGACTGCAATGATAGAGCTTAAAAGATCAAAGACAATTTTTTATATAACTCCGACTGGATTCGTCTAAAAGAAGAAAGTCATATACACTGACTGTATGGGTGAGTAAAACGCAGCCTAGTTTTCATTTTTGGGTGAACTAACTAGAGCCCGACCGATATATCGTTTTGCCGATATTATCGGCCAATATGAGCCTGTCGCCGATATATTACATATATCGATATCGGCCTTTCTTTTACTCCCTAATATCGGTATCGGTTCCAAAAAACCCATATCGGTCGGGCTCTAGAACTAACCCTTTAAAGTTGTCTAAATGAAGTTCTTAGCAATGCATGTTAATAATCAAAAGTTCAGTTTTGATATATTTACGGTTGGAAATTTACAAAATATCTTCATGGAGCATGATCTTTACTTAATATCCTAATGATTTTTGGCATAAAAGAAAAATCTATAATTTTGACCCATACAATGTATTGTTGGCTATTGCTACAAATATACCCCAGCGACTTAACACTGCTTTTGTGCTGCAGGGTCACATTTGTGATTTCTCTGTTCCTGTGAGTTACATGACATGTTTTTTTGTTTTGTGAGTGAGGTACAAATATAAAAAGAGAGTGAAAAAGAAAGAAACATGTCTGGGTTAAGAGGTTAAACGCTTAAATCTCTCATTCCAGTGACGTGGCTCGAGCGACTGAAAGCCAGGATCCGTCTCAAGTGTGTTTGCGGTTTTCATGTTGGCCGTATTACACGAGTGGAAGACGAGCTGAAGACGCGTGTTCGATGGGAAAACCTGAAGTGTGGACGTGAGCTGCGAGTGGAAAACTGGTGCGTCAGCACACTGCAGCACAGACTTTCCCATAAATATCCTTTATTGCCCAGCAAAGAAAGAAAACAAAGTTTTTTCCAGATGTGGCAATGAAATTAAGACTTATTCTCGTATTCTCTCTTTCCGCTCACATGCTGCAGCGGTGAGAAACACAGACGTTACTCCACTAGAGGGAAACAGAGATGATGTTTGATCGCGGAACTACTCCAGTGAATCTGTTAAAGCTGTGCAGTACTTTACCAAAGTAAACCAAAATAACATAGTTACTAGTATGAGTACAAAGTTACTAGTAGCTGTAGTTTCCATTTTTTAAACAAAAACTAGACTTTTACATTTCCATAAAAAGCCAAAAAAATTTATATATTTTTATTAATATAAATTTTTATTTATGTATTTATTTTTGCATAAATGTAAAAACAAGTAAATTTAATTTTTAAATATTTTTTTATTTCATTATTAAAAAAATAATAATTTTATATATTTTAATCAAATATAGTTGGATATAATGCAGTATTTACTTTTTGCCCACAGCCCTCAATCAAGTTTGTTAATTAAATCTAAATTAAATTTAAAAAATATGTACAATTTTAAATAAGCAATTTTAGAAAATCAAAATAAAACACTTGCTAAAAAATTAAATATTTTATTTGTTTTCGTGCATGTCACGTGACTATTATCCAACATTAGAGAATTGTCATTAACATGCAAATGTGTTGTTAAATTATTGCAATATTAATGTAAATGCAGATGTTTTTGGGAAATGCAATCAGAACTTTTTTTAACATTTAAATTAAAATAACTTACAATTATTCTTATAAATTAAATATAATTAAAATAATTCGTGTCTGGCACAGTTTTTCTGCATAAAACAAAGCAATAGAAACGGTTGTGAAGTATGTGTGAGTTGAAGAAATGGGATTTTGAGTGCATTACTGTCACAGCACACAACTGAGAGCGTGATTATCTGTTAGCATGTTTTCATAAAGATCCTCACCTCTCCGCAGCGGCAGCAGCTTGTTCTCCAGGATGTCCCGAGCGTCGGTCCCTTCATCCATTAGATCGAGTTTAGTGATCACACCGATGGTCCGCAGACCTGCTCGCACACACAAACACAGAACGCATATAAGAGCACAAGCACGGTTTGATCTGAACCTGTCTGAAAACAGCACACAGGGTCAAATGAGCTTAAAGCTGTGTCCAGTTTGTTTTGTTTATGTTTTGCTGATGATCCAAGGTTTCACAAATTAAGGCCTCAAAAGGGTCTTAAATCAGAGCTGAAAGTCTTAAATTCATAAAGTAATGGCATTAAATATTGTATACACTGCAACGAAAAAAAAAGAGTGTTTTCCTCAGTATCTTTATCTTGTTTTCCAGTACAAATATCTAAACATCCTTAAATCAAGATACATTTACTGGAGATGCGAAATGAAGATATGAAGTCTTGTTTTTTGAGAAATTAAACAAAATGAAAGTTTATGCTTAAAACAAGAACAAATATCTGTTAATACGGAATTAAAATGTGTTTTCCCTTTGAATTAAGTAGATTTTTCGGACTTTATAGTCAGATGTTTGTTCTTGTTTTAATCATAAACTCACTTCACTTTGATCAGTTTCTCAGAAAACAAGACTTCTTATTTTGTAAAAGCATCTTGATTTAAGAATCTTTAGATATTTGCACTGGAAAACAAGAGAAAGATACTGAGGAAGAACATCAGAAGGTACAGTAGAAGTTATATATAATATATATATATATACAGTGGGTACGGAAAGTATTCAGATCCCCTTAAATTTTTCACTCTTTGTTATATTGCAGCCATTTGCTAAAATCATTTAAGTTAATTTTTTTTCCTCATTAATGTACACACAGCACCCCATATTGACAGAAAAACACAGAATTGTTGACATCTTTGCAGATTTATTAAAAAAGAAAAACGGAAATATCACATGGTCCTAAGTATTCACCCCCTTTGCTGTGACACTCATATATTTAAATCAGGTGCTGCCCATTTCTTCTGATCATCCTTGAGATGGATCTACACCTTCATTTGAGTCCAGCTATGTTTGATTATACTGATTGGACTTGATTACGAAAGCTGAATACTTTCCGTACCCACTGTATATTTTTAAACTTTACATTTAGAGACCTATTGTTTTCCATTAAATTTTTTCCTTAGATTTTCTTCATTCGGTCTTAAAACATCTTGAATTTACTGTAATAAAACCTTCAGATACCCTGCTAATTAATATGATGGTGCTCAAAAAAATTGTGGCCACAATATATTTGAAATATATGCTAAATATAAACAGTGAAGTTCAATTCAATTTATTTTTGAAATAGAAAATGCATTTAGATTTAGTCTTCATATACCAAAATATGTTTCTAAATGTATTTCAGGGGCAAGAAAATACATTTCCAGTCTTACAGTAAGTACATTTAGGCTAAATATAAATGTGGATGGCCTACTAGAGATCAAAAATAGATTTATAATGATTTAATAGTGTTTAATATTTTTACACATTGCATTTTTGGAGCATTTTAAATTATGTTCCTTGCTGAAGCTTAATAAAATGTGTTATATGTTCTCACACGTTATAGACGACAAATCAAGTTTTTCTTCAAGTGTGACATACTGTATGTGAATGCATTTTCTTGGACTGAAATATGTAGAGGGCAAATCTATATTTTTAAATGCTTTAAAAATATATATTTATACATTTAACATATATTTACAAAAATATACAAAGAAATGGCTAGAAAAAATAGTAGAAAATATATTTACGTAAATATATTTTGAAACATATTTTAGCAAATATATATGTGACCCTGCAGCACAAAAGCAGTGTTAAGTCGCTGGGGTATATTTGTAGCAATAGCCAACAATACATTGTATGGGTCAAAATTATACATTTTTCTTTTATGCCAAAAATAATTAGGATATTAAGTAAAGATCATGTTCCATGAAGATATTTTGTAAATGTCCTACCGTAAATATATCAAAACTTAATGTTTGATTAGTAATATGCATTGCTAAAAACTTCATTTGGACAACTTTAAAGATGATTTTCTCAATATTTAGATTTTTTTGCACCCTCAGATTCCAGATTTTCAAATAGTTGTATCTCAGCCAAATATTGTCCTATCCTAACAAACCATACATCAATGGAAAGATTATTTATTCAGCAAAAAACTGACCCTTATGACTGGTTTTGTGCTCCAGAGTCACATTTATGAAGTACTTATTTTCTAAAACATGTTTTACTCTAAACCTGCTAGAAAATCAAAGCCATAAATCTAACAACGTTGTGTTCCAAATTTGAGGTTGATATCACAAAAAAAATGAGAATTTTGTTTGGCCGCAGTACCGAATGTTTCCACTAGGGGAAATACGTTTGCTGTTTGCTTCCAATGTTTACAAATGATCATACAGTATATCTTTAGAAAGTGAACAGCACATAACAGGCACATACCAGTATAAACATAAATATCTATCAATACAATATACATCACACCACTCAACATGCATCAATATTTTCAAATTCCCTTTCAAATTCAGAAGCCTCTGTCAAACACGTCGTCTCAAACCGTAGAGAAAAGCTGTGTCTGTATCAGTGTGTCACTGTGTGCTGGTCTCCTGCAGAATGAGAAGTGTCACCTGCTGATAGAAAACGAGACGCAGCGTCTGAAGGCTGTGGACGAGCAGCACAACCAGCAGCTGAAGGAGTGGAGGGAGCACCTCAAGCCCAGGAAGAAGGTCTGCGCTTCACCAAATACACTTAATTAATTACACACTACAGCTCAAAGGTTTGGGCTGGTAGTCTCTTCTGCTCGCCAAGACTATTTATTCAGCTTTCAGATGATGTATGCATCTCAATTTCGAAAAATTGACCCTTATGACTGGTTTTGTGGTCCAGTAATTTTGTAATGTATTAAAAAATTTATTTGACCTTTTTTTTTTTTGTGGTATGGGTGGGCTTAATACAGAATAATGTATTTTTTGGTTGAGTTTTTTACCCATTTACGTCAGTGTCTGTCACACAAACAATCTGCATTTGAGCACAACAGCATTTGTGGACACGATCAGAGCAGTTAATGTGTGTTACAGATCGCACGCACCCTGCGGGTCGACTTCTTTGGCGATCTTCAGGGCGTCAGAGTTGGCCAGATCGGAGTTAGCGGGCGACACGGCCAGCAGCAGGCAGTTGTCTTTGGTCACAAACTGCATCAGCATGTCTCTGATCTGCTGCTCGATGTCTGCAGGCTGATCTCCCACCGGCACTTTAGTCATTCCCGGCAGATCCACCAGAGTCAGGTTCAGCACTGCGCACACAACACACAGCCAGACCAGATCACCATTCATTCCAGCAACTGCATATTTCCAGTTCACAAAACCTTTTCCCCACTGATCCCCAGTAAAGACCTTGTCTCCTAGACGGGACCACAGGAGCCAGATGAGTCCTCTGCACAATCTGACTTTGCTGCAGCCTGGAACTGAACTGCTGGTTTCGTCTGGTTTCTCCCAAGGTTTTTTCTCCATTCTGTCACCGATTGAGTTTTTGACTAACAAAACCGGGAAAGTCAGACCTCGCGTTCGCGGGACAGCACTGGCGAAATCCTCCAACTGAACCATAGCTAAGGTTTATCTAAAAGTGTCGCTAGGTTTGTCAGTATGAATATTCTATGGAAAAAAGCAGCTAAAAGGGTCTGAAAGTTGCTAAATCTAGTGCTAAAGTCGCGCTCGTGTGTGTGAGACGCGGAAGCTGATGGCAGGGGGCGGTGGATATTTGTGGCGGTCAATGTGGATATTGTGGATGAGTTCTTCTGTGTCATCACATTCTATTAGTTCTACAGCTTCAGTTTCGGAACTTTCACGCTTAGTAACACATACAGCTGTTCCCTCGCCACAGTGCAACAGTGAAAAGGGACCCCTTTCAAATAGTGCCACGTTCCAAACGTTGTTTAAGTGACATACACCGGTATTGCGGGATTTTAAAAATTCATATCATAACAAAAATAAACGTTGTCATTCGGTATGAACCGGTATACCGCCCAGCACTAATTGTCCGACTAACAAAATTACCCCAAATGTTGTCCCAACTAGTCAAACACAGTCGTCTGAACAAAGAATTTCATATTGTTGAAGGCTCTGTGAGTTCCCAGCATGAATAAATTATGCGGTTACTGTTATACGATTATTGTTTTGCTGTTTGCTGCCTTCGTTTAAACCTTTTTGTTGTTGTTTTGTCATTATGGTTAGTTATTTGTGATAGTACTGTGATGTAAAGAGCTCATCTTGTTCTTGAGGTTTGTGTGTCTAGTTCTGAGGCCTAGAGTATGATCAGAAATGTATATAATATTAGTCTTGTAAGATGTTTTATAAGCAAAGACAATGTTGTCTACAGTAAATATGTGTCCCTGGAGCACAAAAGCAGTGTTAAGTCGCTGGGGTATATTTGTAGCAATAGCCAACAATACATTGTATGAGTCAAAATTATCAATTTTTCTTTTATGCCAAAAATCATTAGGATATTAAGTAAAGATCATGTTCCATGAAGATATTTTGTAAATGTCCTACCGTAAATATATCAAAACTTAATTTATGATTAGTAATATGCATTGCTAAGAACTTAATTTGGACAACTTTAAAGGCGATTTTCTCAATATTTAGATTTTTTAGCTCCCTCAGATTCCAGATTTTCAAATAATTGTATCTCGGCCAAAGATCGTGTTCCATGAAGAAATTTCCTACCGTAAATATATCAAAACTTAATTTTTGATTAGTAATATGCATTGCTAAGAACTTCATTTGAACAACTTTAAAGATGATTTTCTCAATATTTAGATTTTTTTGCACCCTCAGATTCCAGATTTTCAAATATTGTCCTATCCTAACAAACCATACATCAATGGAAAGCTTATTTATTCATCTTTCAGATGACGTATACATCTCAGTTTCGAAAAATTGACCCTTATGACTGGTTTTGTGCTCTTGTGGTCACATATTTGTTAGTTATCCATTAAGGTTTCTATAACAATTCACTGTTTGGTCATTTGTAAATAAACATAAAATTAATAATGTGGTGAATTTTAACAAATTTATTTTCATCCAGGAAACAGAAATAAATAAATTACCTCAAGGAGAGTAATTGTCATTTCAGTTGCTGTGACAAGAATGTTTCTATTAGCAAAATAAGACGATCAGCATTGCATGAACAAACAAATTTACGTTGGCTAAACAAAGTATCTTTACTGAGAAGACTTACTAAAGTCTTACTGCATCAAGTTGCCTTATTTATTTATTTTTTACGTTTTCTGAACTCTTTATTTTTCACAGTGCAAGAATAAAATTAAACTGAGAATATCTGATGCTGTGAAGTTTGTGGAGCTTCGTTAATGAATATTAATCTGACCGTTAGGCGAGTAGACGCGCAGGTTGATGGGCACGGGAGAGATGCCTTTATTCTGGCCTGTGGCTCGATCCGTCTCCGCCTCGATCTCCTGACGCACCTCATCGAAATCCGTGAACTTCTTCCCCTTACAGTGGAGGAACTCTGCATATTCTGAGAGGAAACGTTATAAAACACATCGTTACAGTAAAAACTGATCACCTGAACTCGAAATCCTGCCTGTCTCTATGTAAAGCCTGACATATGAAATATGAGACAATTAGACAAAATATTTTGCAATTTAAAAAAAAAAAGTGTGCATGTGTGTTTTTATTGAATACACTGAAACTGAGAATATCTGATGCTGTGAAGTTTGTGGAGCTTCGTTAATGAATATTAATCTGACCGTTAGGCGAGTAGACGCGCAGGTTGATGGGCACGGGAGAGATGCCTTTATTCTGGCCTGTGGCTCGATCCGTCTCCGCCTCGATCTCCTGACGCACCTCATCGAAATCCGTGAACTTCTTCCCCTTACAGTGGAGGAACTCTGCATATTCTGAGAGGAAACGTTATAAAACACATCGTTACAGTAAAAACTGATCACCTGAACTCGAAATCCTGCCTGTCTCTATGTAAAGCCTGACATATGAAATATGAGACAATTAGACAAAATATTTTGCAATTTAAAAAAAAAAAGTGTGCATGTGTGTTTTTATTAAGCATCATATTTGATCCTTCAGGCTTTTCTGGCTCATATTGCATTTCATGCAATTGTTAAATTTAATATTAATAATAATATTGAATAATTGTTCATTTATGATGCACCTTGTTAGTAGTGATCAGTTAGTACACTGTAAGAAAAATATCTAAAAATGGAAAAGGTACTAGTAATTTTCCAGGACATTATCTGTTATCTATTATCCGTTGTTACCCCAAAACACAAAATATGATGCGAAATTAAAAATGCAGGTAAAAAAAAAACTGTGAAAAACCAATACGGAAAATTCCTCCATATTAACACAGATAGATTATTATACATATTAACATAGTAGATGGTGCCCAATTTTTACAGACTTTTCTTAGAGTGTAGCATACTAACTAACTACTAATACACCGCTTAAAAGTATAATTGTTCAGAATGTGAAGTTTTATTTGTTTACCGGGTAATAAAAAAAACTTTTAAAAAAACGTTTTCAATAATTCAATGTATTTAAAAATAGTTACTTATATTTTAATTAGTGCTGTCAAACGATTAATCGCGATTAATGTTTACATAATATATGTGTGTGTGCTGTGTATATTTACACATGCATGTATATATTTCCGAAAAATGTTTTTTATATATTAAATATATTTATTTACAATATACATTATATGAATATAAATATATACATGTAAATATTTTCAAAATATATAATGCATGTGTGTATTTATATATACATAATAAATATACACAGTACACACACATATATTATGCAAACAAAAACTTTTAATTTGGATGCACTAATTTTAATATCATGCATTTATAATTTTACGAACAAATCTAAATGAACATATATAAAATATATTTTTTTGCTGATGTGTGATGTAGTGACAATTTTGCGTCGCGATTACGTAATGACATCACATCGTCGTTTAGCAACAAATCAACCTGAAACATGAGTTGGCAGCACTGAGTGTATCGTGTGATTACACAGGCATCTGATGTGTTTCTGCAGGCGAGAAGCACCTGAGCAGACGGCTCACCTGTGGGGCAGTTGATGAGCTGCAGGACGAGCGGACGGCGCGTGACGATGCCAGAGCCGCGCGGGAGAAAATCCCTGTGCAACAGAAGGACAGCGAGGTGAGTGAGCATCACAGCAAACACTGCAGCGCTCTGGGGTCAAACCAGGACATGCATCTGATTCTAACACTCGCTTACTGACACCAAACAATCTGATGATACATGAATATTGTTTAGTTGATGTATGGTTTGTTAGGATAGGACAATATTTGGCCGATATGCAACTATTTGAAAATCTGGAATCTGAGGGTGCAAAAAAATCTAAATATTGAGAAAATCATCTTTAAAGTTGTCCAAATGAAGTTCTTAGCAATGCATATTACTAATCAAAAATTAAGTTTTGATATATTTACGGTAGGAAATTTACAAAATATCTTCATGGAACATGATCTTTAATTAATATCCTAATGATTTTTGGCATAAAAGAAAAATCAATCATTTTGACCCATACAATGTATTGTTGGCTATTAAAGGTACTAGTAATTTTCCAGGACATTATCTGTTATCTATTATCCGTTGTTACCCCAAAACACAAAATATGATGCGAAATTAAAAATGCAGGTAAAAAAAAAACTGTGAAAAATCAATACGGAAAATTCCTCCATATTAACACAGATAGATTATTATACATATTAACATAGTAGATGGTGCCCAATTTTTACAGACTTTTCTTAGAGTGTAGCATACTAACTAACTACTAATACACCGCTTAAAAGTATAATTGTTCAGAATGTGAAGTTTTATTTGTTTACCGGGTAATAAAAAAAACTTTTAAAAAAACGTTTTCAATAATTCAATGTATTTAAAAATAGTTACTTATATTTTAATTAGTGCTGTCAAACGATTAATCGCGATTAATGTTTACATAATATATGTGTGTGTGCTGTGTATATTTACACATGCATGTATATATTTCCGAAAAATGTTTTTTATATATTAAATATATTTATTTACAATATACATTATATGAATATAAATATATACATGTAAATATTTTCAAAATATATAATGCATGTGTGTATTTATATATACATAATAAATATACACAGTACACACACATATATTATGCAAACAAAAACTTTTAATTTGGATGCACTCATTTTAATATCATGCATTTATAATTTTACGAACAAATCTAAATGAACATATATAAAATATATTTTTTTGCTGATGTGTGATGTAGTGACAATTTTGCGTCGCGATTACGTAATGACATCACATCGTCGTTTAGCAACAAATCAACCTGAAACATGAGTTGGCAGCACTGAGTGTATCGTGTGATTACACAGGCATCTGATGTGTTTCTGCAGGCGAGAAGCACCTGAGCAGACGGCTCACCTGTGGGGCAGTTGATGAGCTGCAGGACGAGCGGACGGCGCGTGACGATGCCAGAGCCGCGCGGGAGAAAATCCCTGTGCAACAGAAGGACAGCGAGGTGAGTGAGCATCACAGCAAACACTGCAGCGCTCTGGGGTCAAACCAGGACATGCATCTGATTCTAACACTCGCTTACTGACACCAAACAATCTGATGATACATGAATATTGTTTAGTTGATGTATGGTTTGTTAGGATAGGACAATATTTGGCCGATATGCAACTATTTGAAAATCTGGAATCTGAGGGTGCAAAAAAATCTAAATATTGAGAAAATCATCTTTAAAGTTGTCCAAATGAAGTTCTTAGCAATGCATATTACTAATCAAAAATTAAGTTTTGATATATTTACGGTAGGAAATGTACTAAATATCTTCATGGAACATGATCTTTAATTAATGTCTTAATGATTTTTGGTATAAAAGAAAAATCGATAATTTTGACCCATACAATGTTTTTTTAGTTTTGATATATTTACGGTAGGAAATGTACTAAATATCTTCATGGAACATGATCTTTACTTAATATCCTAATGATTTTTGGTATAAAAGAAAAATGTATAATTTTGACCCATACAATGTATTGTTGGCTATTGCTACAAATATATCCCAGCGACTTAACACTGCTTTTGTGCTGCAGGGACACATTTCATATCAGCCCGTTTGCATTTCAACATTATATTTTAATTGCCTAAATATAATAAATTCTCCTTAAAGTAGGTTTAATTTGATGCATTTTTTAAATTGTATTTTAGCTAGTTGCTAAGGCAACATTTCTCATTTTCGTTTAGTTTAAGATGAAGCATTAAAATAACTAAACCTATTAAATACAAATTAATAAATACCATATAGACCTTTGAAAAAACAAAAACTAATAAAAATGACAAAAACAACAAAATCACTACAACTTTAATGAAAACAGAAAATGTAAATAACATCTAATTCAACAAATTATATTAGCATATCAGTGATACTAAAATAAGTTAGTCTACTTTATTTTAAGTACCAGCTATTAAAAAGAGTTTAAGATTAAATATTACTTAAAATGCTTAGTTTTATGCTCTGTAGTGTGAATCTATCGCTCATTTCTGTATTAAACATTCAACTGCAGTAAAGATGCTAAATATAATAAATTCTACCTGAATTAGATTTAATTTGATGCATTTTTTAAATCTTTCGGTCTGAGAACATGCAGTATTTGCAGAACAAATATTGTCAATAATGTGATGTGCTTTGGGCCAGAGATGGAAAAAAACATGATCGCTTGAAGGTTCAGCAGTAAATACTGATGAATATTTCAAAATTGATGCAATACTGACATTGTTATTGAACTGAATTGATTGGAATAACGACTCTATTGTCTTCTGTAGAGCTGCTTTACAGCTGAAATCGAATTAGTTTTATAAATGATGAATTTTACAACATTAACACTGTTTATTTTCCTGTTTATTACTGTGAATAGATGGAAATAGATGGAATTTGTATGTACAGTTGTGGTATATAAATGGAATAGAATTAGCAAGGAATGGAATAAGAAATAAACATGACTTTTCATGCAAAAGGAGTTTTGCACGAGCAGTAAGACTGTGGAAAAGGAGATTTGTGTGTTCTGGGAAGGGTTAATATAGCATTTTAAATAATAACATTTTTGTTACTTGAAATAAAATAAAATCTAATATTTAAAAAATGAGTTGCCAAAGAAATGTTTCTCATTTTCATTTAGATTAATGTACTAAAATATAAAAACCAAACTAAAAAATAAAATAAAAAATACTTTAAAAAATGACAAATTACTCAACTGTACTAAAAAAAATACTCAAATTTTAAAATTAAAATAGAAAAATAAAAACTAATTCAAATTATTAATAAATACTGTCCCAAGAAAATAATACTGAAAACATAAAATATATGTAAACTGAAACACAATTAAATATATAAAAAAACTAAATGCTAAATAAATACTAAATTAACAAAAAATAAATGTTTTTTCCCCCCAAGGAAACATTTTCATTTAGTTTAACTTGATTAAATATGATTAAAAAAAATTTAATAAAATAATATAAAAATGACAAAAAAAACTCAAATTACTAAAACTAACTCAAATTAAAATAAAACGGAAAATGTAAAAATAAAATTCTAAATATTAATAAAAAACTATAACAGTCTCTCACTTTGATTGATCCTCTTTTAACTTAGAACAGATCTCACTTTCTGTCCCAAGTTAAAAGAGGATCAATCAACCCTGAGATCTGAGTGCTGTATATTTATAAAACAGGTCATATTACAGCCGCCTAGAATAATAAAAAAAGAAATTTGACTCGGGCGTTTCGTCATGAGATTCACCAAAACACTCGCATCCCTGCAGCTGTGTGGCTCAGGAACATCCCATAATAACAGCAGCAGCAGCAGCAGTGTGTGTGTGTTTCCCCGTGGAGGAGACGCAGAGGAGGACAAAGAGAGATGCGACTCTCTCTCTCTCTCTCTCTGTGTGTGTGTGTGTCTCTCGTCCCATCCCCCAGTGTCTGCAGGCAGCTGTGATGACGGACAGGAATCTAATCCCAGAGCGCCGTCTCCTCCCCCAC